ACATACCTCCGTTGCGGTTTGTCCCTGGCCCTGGTTGGTCGTGCGGGTGGCAGCCACTCGATGTGTCCCTTCACATCGATGTTTCTCTCTCTCTCTCTGTTCCTCTCTCTCCCTCCCGCTCTACCTGAACAAAAAATGGAAAAATGTCCTCGGGTGAGGATAAAAAATAAAAAAAAGAAGCCTAGTATGAATAACAAAAGATGCTCCTAAAACCCTGATCACTCAGGAAATTCCAAGGGTTTTAGGAGCTCTAGCCCAAGAACCAGGGCAAAGACTACTTACGAATTTCTTACATCCCGATACCATAGGGAGGGTTGCTGCTGTAATAGTTAAGTATGTCTTCCTGTAGCATTTGACTCTTGAAGACCATTGAGAATGGGGAAATCCCAGCAGGCTGCTGTCTTCCGAGGACACAGCGTCCGGAGCCTTCCTGACCTGCTGTCCTTGCGTTCTGGGCCTCCTGACCGTGGGCCTCTGGTCACTGCTACTCGTCCAGAATACTTCACAGCATAGTCTAATACCCAGAAGTCTTACAAAGAGGAAAACGGTGTTTTAGAAGACACATTTTTACTTACTTATAACATACGTACTCATCATAAGGAATGACCAATGATCAGAAAATAAACAAAAAAGTTCAGCCACCACACAGGTCAGGAGGTAGCACAGACCTTTCCAGTAACCCCAAAGCCCTGCGTATGCCCAGACTCGGTCATCACCCCTTCTCTCCCATGCGCACATAACCACCAGCCTGACATTTACTGTCACGGATTAGTTCTGCCTCTCTTTGAGCTTTATGTAAGTAGATCACACAGAGTGGGTTCCTTTGTGCCTGGCTTCTTTTTTTTTTATCCTCACCCGAGGATATTTTTCCATTTTTTGTACAGATAGAGTGGGAGGGAGAGAGAGGAAGGGAGAGAGAGAAACATCGACGTGAAAGGGACACATCGAGTGGCTGCCACCCGCACGACCAACCAGGGCCAGGGACAAACTGCAACCGAAGTACGTGCCCTTAGCGGGAACCGAACCCGGGTCTCTCCGGACCGCAGGCCGACGCTCTAACCGCTGAGCCAAACTGGCCAGAGCTGTGCCTGGCTTCTTATGTTCAACATCGTGGTTGTGAGATTCGTCCATGTCCTTGTCCGAGCGGGGGTACGTTCGTTTTCATTGTGTGAGTACGGGGTGGGCAGAAGGAAGTTTGCAGTTGTGAGTACATGAAACAGTTTATTCTCATACTGTTATTTATTCACTACTGCATTATTTTCCATATGAACAACTGTCCACCTCCTTTTGCCCCACCCTGTGTACCACAGTGCATGTACGAGTGCGGCAGCAAATGGCCATTTGAATGGCTTCCAGGTTTCGGTCGTTATGCACATTCTTGTGCCTGCCTTTCGGTGCCATGTGCACACATCACCGCTGAGTATACAGTCAGTGGTGGGAGTGCTGTGCCACAGAGCATGCGCATGTCCTGTTTCAGTAGCAATACCCAGATGTTTTCCATAATGATTGTTCCAGTTCACACTCCCACCGATGGTGCCGCGCATCCTTGTGAACACTGGCTGTTGTCTGGTGCGATGTCATGGTAGCTCATCGTGGCTCTACTTAGCATGTCTCTGTTACTATTGAGGTTGAGCATCTTTACACGTTTCAGGTCTCTTTAGATTTCTTTTTCTGTGCCAACTCAAGCATCTTGCCAACTTTGCGATGGTGTGTCCGCCTATTTATTACACATTTGTAGGAGCTCTTTATAAATTCTGGATACAAACCCTTTGGAGATTACACGTGTTGAAAAAATCTTCAACTCTGTGGCTTGCATTTTGACTCTCTTCCTGCTGGCTTTTGATGAACAGAAGTTCATAAAGTTAATGTACTCCTGTCATCGATGCCTGTACCAATACCATGGTATGTAAACTTTGGTACCATTTTATGTAAATACCACTTTATGTAACCCTTGAACTCTTGCAGTGTCCATCGTCCAGCTTTTTTCTTCTTCAAGAATGCCTTGTCTCTTCTTGGCCCTTTGTATTTCCATAAATTTCGGCATCAACTTGTCGATGTCTCAGATTTTTATTCGGATTGTATTACAACTAGGTGGATCCATTTAGACAGAATTGACAATACATGGAGCCTTCCATTATACAAATACGGTCTTCCCTTAATTTATGTAGATCTTCTTTAATTTTGCTTAACAATATTGTGTACCATTCCATGTCAAAATCTCGCACATCTTTTGTTAGATTTATTCCTAGGTGTTAGATTTTTTTTTTTTTTTAATACTATGGCAAATGGCATCTTTAAATTTTTTTTTTAATCTTTATTGTTGGATGTAAAATGTATTACAGATGTTCCACATTTTTCCCCCATTGACCCCCTTCTCGCCCCTCCCGCCTCCCTCCCACCTTTTCCCACACTATTGTCTGTGTCCATTGGTTATGCATATAAACTCTTTGGTTTATTTCTTCCCCCCCCCCCAGCCCCTTTCCCTTTGAGGTTTGTCAAAGGGAATGAATTTGTACTTCTTAATCCCTTCACCTTTTTCACCCATTCCCCCAACCCCCCTCCCAACTGGCAACCAACAAAATGTTCTCTGTATCTATGAGAATGTTTCTGTTCTACCTGTTCATTTTGTTTGTAGATTCCATTGTTGATAGATATGTATTCATTGCCATTTTGTTTGTTCATATATTTTATCTTTTTCTTCAAGAAGACCCTTCATCATTTTATATAATAACAGTTTGGTGGTGATGAGCTCCTTTAACTTTTTCTTGTCTGGGAAAGTTTTTATATGTCCATCGATTCTAAATGACAGCTTTGCAGGATAGAGTAATCTTGGTTGTAGGTTCTTGCTTTTCATCACTCTGAATATTTCTTGCCACTCCTTTCTGGCCTGCAAAGTTTCTTTTGAGAAATCAGCTGACAGCCTAATGGGAACTCCCTTGTAGGTAACTAGCTGCCTTTCTCTTGCTGCTTTTAAGATTCTCTCTTTGTCTTGAACCTTTTGCATTTTGATGATGATGTGTCTTGGTGTGGGCCTCTTGGGGTTCATCTTGTTTGGGACTCTCTGTGCTTCATGGACTTGTATGTCTGTTTCCTTCACCAAGTTAGGAAAGTTTTCTGCCATTATTGTTTCAAACAGGTTTTCGATTTCTTGTTCTCGCTCTTCTCCTTCTGGCACCCCCAAGATGCGAATGTTGGCACGCTTGAAGTTGTCCCAGAGGCTACTTACACTGTCCTCGTTTTTTTGGATTCTTTTTTCTTTCTGCTGTTCTGATTAGGCATGTTTTGCTTCCTTATAGTCCAAATCGATGGTTTGCTCCTTGAATTTATGTACTCTATTATTGAAGCAGTGTAAATTATTCTTTATTTCAGTTAATGCCTCCTTCAATTCTAACTGTGTATCCATGATTTCTAACTGGTCCTTTTTTATGCTCTTGAGGCCCTCCCTAAGTTCACTGAGGTTCTCACTAAGTTCATTGAGCATCCTTATAAGCAGTATTTTGAACTCAGTATCTGTTAGGTTGCTTATCTCCATTTCACTTAGTTCTTTCCTTGGGGTTTTGTTCTGTTCTTTCATTTGGGACTTGTTTCTTTGTCTCCTCATTTTGGCTGCCTCCCTGTGTTTGTTTCAGTGTATTACTTAATGAGAGGTATGGGGCTAGCTGAGACCAGATGCTGCTCGTTTGAAAGAATTTAGGAAAACCTGAAGCAGGATCCAAGACAGGCCAATCCTATGGTTAAGCAAGTGGCAACAGCTTGGGTGGGCTTGAAAGTTGGGTGGGGCGGGGCGGGGCCTCAGGGAGTCACCAGGGCGGGGCTACCAGTGTGAGCCACGTTGCTGGAGTCCCAGGTATGGCGACTGTCTGCCGTCCCTGGGAAGGGCTCACCAAAGGAACAAAGGCCTCTGACAGCACGTTTGTCCCAGAGAAAGCCCCCTCTCCAGCCCTCGCTCCAGTGCCAAACAGCTCAGTTCTTCCCTGTGTGTCTCTGGTGCCCCTCGAGCTGCCTCCCCTCCAAGCTTAGAGGGAGAGAATCCGATAAGTCCGTGCGCGGGCCCTTTAAGGAGCTGCCTGGGGCTCCAGCTGCATCAGCTTCCCTGAGCCTCAGTTCCCGCTGGTTTTTCCAGCCAGAAGTTATGGGGATTCTCTTCCTGGCACTGGAACCCTGAGCAGGGCGTCTGGTGAGGGACGGGGACCCCTTAGTCCTCAGGGAGGACCTTCCCAGCTGAGGTGTCCTCCTGATTTTTATCCACCACACGTGGGTGTGGGACCAGCCCGTCCCCTCCGCCCTCCTACCAGTCTGGATGTGGCTGCTGCTTTAATCCCGTAGTTGTAGGACTTCCATTCAGCTGGATTTCAGGCAGTTTTGAATGATGTTGTTCTGCAGTTTAGTTGTAACTTTGATGTGGTTGTGGGAGGACGGATACTGCGTTTACCTACCCGCCGTCTTGACCGCAGCTCTCGCATCTTTAAAATTTTTTATTATCTGTTCATTGCTGGTATGTAGAAATACAACTGATATTGTAGATGGACTGTTGACCCAGTGTTCTTGATAAACTCATGTATTAATTATAACAGCTTTTATATATCAATTACTTGGATTTATCTATTGCATGCAGTCATATCATTTGTGAATAACAGTTTTATTTCATCTGTTTCAGTCCTTATGTTTTTGTTTTTGTTTTTTTTATTCCTTACCTGAGGATATTTTTCTATTTATTATCAGATAGAGTGGGAGGGAGGGAGAGAGACAGAGAGAAACATTGATGTGATAGAGCCACATCGACTGGTTGCCTCCTGCATGACCCGACCAGAGCCAGGGACAAACCACAACCAAGGTACATGCCTTTGACTGGAATTGAACCCGCAACTCATTGGTCCACAGGCCGATGCTCTAACCACTAAGCCAAACCGACCAGGGCTATGTTTTTTATTTCCCTTTCTCGCTCTCTGTGCGGGCTCTGTGACCTTGGACCTAACAAGATTCCCCCCCTTTCATTCCAGATGAGGCCGAGGCACATGTCGACTATGAAGATAATTTCCCTGATGACAGGTCTGTGTCATTCAGAGAGCTCATGGAGGATTCCCGGACAGGAGCCGAGGAGGACGGGGGTCAGGGAGAGGCCTCCCAGGAGGCTCCAAAACAGGACCGTCTGGTCTCCATTTCTGCAGGGAGAGAAAACATAGCTCAGGATACAGCCTTTGTGCCGACTAAAGGCTTGCCCGGCGCTAGGAGCAGTGTCCCCACAGACCTGCCAGGACCCATACTGAAAGGGAAGTACTTGTTCTGGCTTCCTGCTGAGACCTTCCACAAGCTGGACTTGGAAAAGGACTTGGATGATGACACCAAAAAGCAGTTTCCAGCTGGAGACAACCATGTCACATTGGCCCCAGGGGAATCGGGAACCAAGGGGCTCCATAGCAGCACTGATGGTCCCTCGGGGCCATATGTGGGCAGGAATGACAGCAAGGCAGGGGACCCAATGGTGAGCAGCAGCGACGAGTCCTGGTTAGACGGCTACCCGGTGACCGATGGGGCTTGGAGGAAGACAGAGGCAGAAGAGGAGGAAGTGGAGGAAGATGGGGACAAGGGGGATGGCTCAGTAGGGCTGGAAGAATGTGTTGTGTTTACTTCCCATAAGCCCATTCTTGTGGAAGTGAATAAGCCCAGGAGTACCACCCTCACACCAAAGGAGGGCATGACCCATAGTTCAGTCCTTCCATCTCAGACACTAGACATGGAAACTTTGGCTCTCACACCCAAGAGCGGGTCTGAAACTAAGGCTCCCAGCAAGGAGGATGGTGACTTGACCAGGTACCCATCAACTGTTCCTTGGAGATTCGCCACAGAGAAGTCTCCCGTGACCACCCTACCCTATGAACTCACCGGCTCTACCCTGGAGACAGCTACAGCCGCTGTCCCAAAGCTGCCTCACAACATCCCCTCGACTGTCATGGTGGCCGCGCAGACTCCCATGGAGACCGCTGCTCCTGAAGTCCAGGAGAACTTCCCATACCTGCTGTCTGAGGACTTCTTGGGGCAGGAAGGCCCTGGCCCCGGTGCTAGTGAGGAGCTTCTTCCAACCTTGGAGCCGTGTGTGGGAGATGAGTGTCCTAGCCTCAGCAGGGGCCCTGTCATCGCCACCATTGTCACCGTCCTGTGCCTGCTGCTGCTCCTGGCGGGCGTGGGGGCAGTGTGGGGCTACCGCAGGTGCCAGCACAAGAGCTCGGTGTACAAGCTGAACGTTGGCCAGAGGCAGGCTCGGCACTACCACCAGCAGATCGAGATGGAGAAGGTCTAGCCACCTGCAGAGTGGGCTCTTCCAAGCCACTTGGTAGGAAAACAAACTGTGACTCAGCACATTGATAAACACTGATAATTCACTAGAGCAGAAAACAGGTGGACTAGGACTTGCCTTTCTTCCCCTCAGGTCTTTGTTTTACAGGCTGAGAATGGTCTCTGGAGGTACCTGGGAGGAAGGCTTGGATGGCATCACCACACATGTCAAGATCTCCCCCACCGTCTGCCCTGGAATGAATTGCACTAATCCGGCCCTGGGCCCTGATTCCACCAGAAGGTCAAAACTCAGCTCTTGCTTCATCATTCTCTTGTCTTCTTTTCTTTTCTTTTTCTAAGAAATAAAATGACTGACTCCGTGACCTGAAGATTTTGAAATAGGCATGATAAAGGGAGCATTTGCGAGCAGTGGTATTTAGGATACAGATATTTAACGGTTGACAGTGGGACATAGAAGAAGAATGAGTTATTGCCTTTCAATGTGATGATGCTGAGGGCAGATGAGCTAAGAACCAGGACATAGTCTAGAAGCTTTGAGACTTCTTTTTTAATTGTTTGTTGACATTCGAAAGAATTGAAGACTGACATTTTGTTGGGGCGAGGGGTGGGGAGAAGCGGCCGGACCCACACCCACTTCTGGTCCCTCCTTTCTGTGGGACAGCCCATCGGTTTTTAAAAAACAAGGTTAGCTTTGAACTGGTAAGCCCCATTTCCTCTCGGAAGAAGTGGCCTAGTTGTCCTTGACCAGTCTGTGTCTAGGAATGTCTTAGAATTTTTGCCAGGACTAACAGAACTCAGTCCTTGGTTTCCTCTCTCCGGATTAACCATTTCTCTGAACTCCAGCAAGAGGGAATGACACGGGAGGGGGAAAGTTTTAGGAGGGCCCAGGACTAGGACATCAGGTGTGAGTTCCTGCTTGATGAAGAAGCACAGGAACTAAAAGTACGAAATGATCTGTGCCGATCTGTTCTTCACTCTGTTGTGGCCATTGGGAGCTCTGTGGAGACAGCACGAGGCCAGATGGACGCATCTGGCTGTTGAGCAACCCATCGCATAGTATCTAGATCATCTTATGATTGCTCAGCCAGTGTAGTGTATGACAGAGGTTCTCAAAGCGTGGTCCTCAGACCAGACACATCAACCTTCGCTGGAAGCATGCTGGAACCACAAATTTTCTGGTGCTGCCCAGACAGGTGAAGCAGAAACCCCGGGGGTGGGGCCCAACTCTGTGTTTTAAGTAGCCCTGCAGGTGACCTAAATGCACACTCAAGTTTGAGAGCCATTGGTTTCCGAGAGTTTTGAGCTTTGAGGCCCGAGGAAGTTCCAGAGGCCCAAAGATGAGTAACACCTGTGGCCTGTCTGGCACAGAGGTCAACGTGCAGCTGCTGCCTTTGAAGCTGCTGACACCCATCTCCAGTGGTCTCCGAGTGACGGCACAGAAACAAGACACGTCGCCTTTTTCTGATACGAATCCCCTTCTTTGAAATCGTTTTCATTGATAGGAAGTGATGAAGGCATACATTTATTTTGAGACTCTGAGAGTCTAAGCGTTTTTGTGTGTCAGAAGAGAGACCCTGGACTTCTTTACAAGGGAAAAGTTGGCGGTGGTGTTTTTCCTGAGGATAAAAAGAATTCTTGCAGTGTGTTCTCTACCCCGCCACCTCTTTTTGGTGCAAGCATTGGAAAAATAATCGTCTGAGCAGCTATAAAGACAGTACAGCAGCAGGAAAGACCTTCTTCTTCGTGCTGGGAAAACGAAGGCCTGAAGGTACCAGATGGAACACCCGCCTAAGCGTCAGATGAAACCGAGAACTATCGGGATGAAATGCCTTCTGCATGTAGCCAAAGCAAAACACACCAGAATAAAAGCCAGAGACTGTATATATTTATAATTAGATTCTGTTCTAATCTATTACAAGATAACTTTTCTATGTTTAACTATGTAAAATAACCTCCATCTCAACATTGGGAGTGTGTTCTCCAATACATGTAATAATCCAAGAACATTCACTTACTACCAACCCCAAATCGGTAATAGTAATACAAATGTATTAATACAGTTATTATAAACATATTAATACATGTGAATGTATTATTTAGTAGACATGAACTACAAAATAAGCCCAATACGTATGTTTTTAAGTCTTCAGTGATTTGGAGTCATCTAAATTAATGTTATAGGATCTAAAAAGCATGTAGAAAGTGAATGATTAAAACACTGTCATTATGCATGTTTTGAGACTAGTCAATGTTTTTAATGTTCAGGAAAATTGGGGGTGGGGTACATTAACACAGAGCTTCTGAGATATTTAAAATAAATAATTATTTCCCCCAAACAGTTTCATAATGTATTTTATTACCGAGGTTACATCACAATGAGCTTTTTACAGAAAGATTGTCTAGCCCAGCGGTGTGGCTCAGTGGTTGAGCGTCGACCCATGCACCAAGAGGTCGCCAGTTCTATTCCGGTCAGGGCACATGCCCAGGTTGTGGGCCTGTTCGCCAGTGGGAGACGTGCAGGAGGCAGGCCAGTCGATGTTCACGCTCATTGATATTTCTGTCTCTCTCTCCCTTTCCCTTCCTCTCTCTCTTTAATCAATAAAGGAAACATTTTAAAAAAAAAAAAAAAGACTGTCCAACAACCTTGAAAACAGTGTCTTAATACTTGCTGTGTCTAAGACTGCCCCCTCTGAGCCTCGCTCTCCCTGCAAGGGGATTCCGGGGGAGCCTCCAGAGCTCCTGTCCGCTCCTCGCTCCCTCCCTCCCTCCTCCTCACCCACCCAGAGATTACTTGTCATTTGCACAAGGCTTTGCTTCAAGGGGTCCAGACCCAACTCTATTCCCGACATCACCACTCCTCAATCCAAATTTTCCTCTACAAAAATCTGTGCCTGCCACCTCTTCTCCTAGAATCTATAAGCTGAGGTGAACTCTCACTCCCATGGGTCTGTTTCTGCACTGGCTGGTCCCTCGCTCCTTCTCCTTGCCTCCTTCCACTCTCCCCTCTGCCTCCTTCCGCTCTCCCCTCTGCCTCCTTCCGCTCTCCCCTCTCCCTCCTTCCGCTCTCCCCTCCCCCTCCTTCCCCTCTCCCTCCTTCCGCTCCTCTCCTCCTTCCCCCTCTCCCTCCTTCCGCTCTCCCCTCTCCCTCCTTCCCCTCTCCCTCCTTCCGCTCTCCCCTCTCCCTCCTTCCCCTCTCCCCTCTCCCTCCTTCCCCTCTCCCTCCTTCCGCTCTCCCCTCTCCCTCCTTCCCCTCTCCCTCCTTCCGCTCTCCCCTCTCCCTCCTTCCCCTCTCCCTCCTTCCGCTCTCCCTCTCCCTCCTCCCCTCTCCCTCCTTCCGCTCTCCCCTCTGCCTCCTTCCCTCTCCCCTCCTTCCTCTCCCCCCTCCTCCCTTCCGCTCTCCCCCTCTCCCTCCTCCCCTCTCCCTCCTTCCGCTCTCCCCCCCTCCCTCCTTCCGCCTCTCCCTCTCCCTCCTTCCCCTCTCCCCCCTCTCCCTCCTCCCCCCTCCCTCCTTCCGCTCTTCCCTCTCCCTCCTTCCCCTCTCCCTCCTTCCGCTCTCCCCCTCCCTCCTTCCGCTCTCCCCTCTCCCTCCTTCCCCTCTCCCTCCTTCCGCTCTCCCCTCTGCCTCCTTCCGCTCTCCCCTCTCCCTCCTTCCGCTCTCCCCTCTGCCTCCTTCCGCTCTCCCCTCTGCCTCCTTCCGCTCTCCCCTCTCCCTCCTTCCGCTCTCCCCTCTGCCTCCTTCCCCTCTCCCTCCTTCCCGCCTCCCCCCTCTCCTCCTTCCGCTCTCCCCTCTGCCTCCTTCCGCTCTCCCCTCTGCCTCCTTCCGCTCTCCCCTCTCCCTCCTTCCGCTCTCCCCTCTGCCTCCTTCCGCTCTCCCCTCCCCCTCCTTCCCCTCTCCCCTCCCCCTCCTTCCCCTCTCCCTCCTTCCGCTCTCCCCTCTCCCTCCTTCCGCTCTCCCCTCTCCCTCCTTCCCCTCTCCCTCCTTCCGCTCTCCCCCCTCCCTCCTTCCGCTCTCCCCTCTCCCTCCTTCCCCTCTCCCTCCTTCCGCTCTCCCCCCTCCCTCCTTCCGCTCTTCCCTCTCCCTCCTTCCCCCCTCCCTCCTTCCACTCTCCCCTCTCCCTCCTTCCCCCCTCCCTCCTTCCGCTCTCCCCCCTCCCTCCTTCCGCTCTTCCCTCTCCCTCCTTCCCCCCTCCCTCCTTCCACTCTCCCCTCTCCCTCCTTCCGCTCTCCCCCCTCCCTCCTTCCCCTCTCCCCTCTCCCTCCTTCCCCTCTCCCCTCTCCCTCCTTCCGCTCTCCCCTCTGCCTCCTTCCGCTCTCCCCTCTCCCTCCTTCCCCTCTCCCCTCTCCCTCCTTCCGCTCTCCCCTCTCCCTCCTTCCGCTCTCCCCTCTGCCTCCTTCCGCTCTCCCCTCTGCCTCCTTCCGCTCTCCCCTCTCCTCCTTCCCCTCTCCCCTCTCCCTCCTTCCGCTCTCCCCTCTCCCTCCTTCCCCTCTCCCCTCTCCCTCCTTCCCTCCCCTCTCCTCCTTCCCCTCTCCTCCTTCCCCTCTCCCCTCTCCCCCTTCCCCTCTTCCTCCTTCCACTCTCCCCTCTCCCTCCTTCCCCTCTTCCTCCTTCCGCTCTCCCCTCTCCCTCCTTCCCCTCTTCCTCCTTCCGCTCTCCCCTCTCCCTCCTTCCGCTCTCCCCTCTTCCTCCTTGCCTCTCCACTCTCCCCTCTCCCTCCTTCCCCTTTCCCCTCTCCCCCTTCCCTCTCCCCCTCTCCCTCCTTCCCCTCTCCCTCCTCTTCCCTCCTTCCCCTCTCCCTCCGTCCTCTCCGCTCTCCGCTCCTTCCCTCCCGGCCTTCGCTCCTCACCCTCCTCCCTCCTTCCGCCTCATCCCCTCTCCCTCCTTCCCCTCTCCCCGCTCCCTCCTTCCCCTCTCCCCTCTCCCTCCTTCCCCTCTCCCCTCTCCCTCCTTCCCCTCTCCCTCACTTCGCCTCGCTTCCCTCTCCTCCTCCTTCCCCTCTCCTCACT